CCCGTTTCACTTGTCACTTTTTCCAACTTGTCGGCTTCATTTTAGGTCATCACTTTAACACCCTATTGGTCTCAGAACTTAAAAACCATTGGCCGTTTATGTCAACCTTCAGTGCTTTCATTCGCAAAATTTCACTTCAAATACGTTTTTTTTAAGGTTTTAATGCGATGAGTTTGGGCGATTGGTTAATGTGCCACACCTCGACTAGGTTGCGCTGAGTGGGACACCAAATGTTGGTCAATGCACTGGCTTTCAACAGGCCTCCGCATCGCCTCCTTCCTGGTTTATCAATGACATGCCTGCTGACAACCTCTACGACTGACAAATTTGTTGGATGTGCGTACCGCAAGTAAGCACTTTGCTAACATCCTCTGTTAAAGAAGATCATTGTCTTTTAGTTTGTTAGATTCGAGCCTGATAGTTAAAATAAATCTACCTTTAGACAGTCATTTAACAAACTATTAAATCTGTCAAATTAAGTTTTTTTTTTAATTCTGGACCCGGGTTTGGAGTAAATTTATGGTGCGCAGGAAAGGATGTGCCTAAATTTCATGAAGGCCAGTCATCAGTCTACGGAAACTTAAGTCCTCGACATCTTAAAGAGCACACACTTGATCTCTTGATTTTAATCGTTTGTCAAATAAGACAAATGATCGCGTTAGAGATTACTATATTCCTCTTCACATGAAGAGAATGGGTAAACGCTTATTCGAAAAGCGAGAGTAAACGCCCAAAATCAGGTCACATTTGTTCTTACTACCCCCACTCCAATAAGCATTGGCGCTGAAGTGCTCCATTGTAACCTCAACGTCACAGACATCGTCTTTCTATTAACCAACCAAACTCCCCCCCCTCCTCGACCTCTGATTGACTGCCTTACCAGCCAATCAGGATTGAACAATGTGCTTGCTGTTGCTCTGATTGGCTCCTTCTGCTAGCCAGGTGACGACGAGGGCAATTCTCCTTCACATGCGATTAACTGTCTGTGTGAGTGTGTACACACTTCTTCCGAGTCTGGGCTTCAGACTTATCAGAGGTGAGTTCTCACTAGTTTTGGAACTTTGCATGCCTTTAAGCTAGACATGATTGGATGATGGCACTTGGTTAGATCCGGTGGCCTTTGTACATAGGAGCCGATATTAAGAAAGGGGTCTTTGAAGCATCAAATTTCTTCTTAAAATCAATTAATTGGTACAATTCACGACTATCAAACAAGACAATCCATTTATTTGCTCATTTTGGCCAAAGTCTAAGTTGTCCAACTCTTCCACAAAAGTATCACCAAGTGGGAATACATGAGGGTGCACCTTAAATCACCTAATAATGATCAAATGTCGCCAAAACATCCTACAAATCACCGACTTGTCCACTACTTACCTACTCCTGGCCTAGGTAGACACCTACACAACTTTGGTTAGTCGGTTTGAACACTGGGATGAATGCATTTGCACAGATAAATAACTTTTTCACTTCCTTTGTCATCGTTTGGCTTCCCGTCCCGCTTTTTTGAAGGTGACAACAACTCCTCTTGTTACCTTACTACGCTTGAAATTCAAGTCTTATAGTGTCCATATCGTCGTACCTCGTATGCGATTTCGAGAGATCAGTGCTGCTGCACCAGGTGGCCCCTATCAGCGGCTTCCTTTGAAGTATCCACATCTTGCTTCCGTTTATTACCCATTCACAAAATGTAACCTTTGCTCTTCCAACTTACCATTCATTTGCCACTCAATTACCTCTGCAGTGATTCCATACCTTGCCCAGCTTAGGATGCACATAGAACATCCGATTTTTACGTATTTTTCTCGTTGCATCGTTCGATGCTGTCATGCCTTCACTTCGTTGGTTTTGACACTGTAGCCAGAAAATTTCCTTCTGCCCTTCTTTGAGTGGCCATAGTACTTCGTCCCAGTGACGCAGAGTTTGAGGTAAAAGGCCAACTCCCTCAACCTTCACCTCAATGTGAATTCTTAAGGGCCCTGTTCCACTTTTCCTACTTTGCAAACGAACGGCCTAACAATTGGGATGTCCCATTTCATTTTACCAATGCAAAACGCCTCAAAGTGGCTTTGAAACTCGTGACACATTTCAAATTACCCACCGAGCCTGGAAGGTTCACCATACCCGCCTTTAAAAAGCTCATGAATGAGACATAAAAAGCGGCAAGTATGTAGGCAATCCTGGTCTTTTTGGGTGGTAGTTACAGTTTTACATCCATCCCGTGGTTAGGCAAAGCTCACCTACCTTTGCCCATGAAGGGAATGGACAAACTGTCGTGGAAATAGCCCTTCGGCTAGAATGTGCCAATCAGGGCGAAGGGGGAGGGGGTGTGGAGCCCTACTACGTCCACCCTCAAAATGTACTATTGTAGGGCATTCTTTCCGTAACAGTACTGTAACTGTCGCCTCCTCCCCTCAAGGTGAATACAGCGGCCACCTGAACGATTGATTTCTCGGACCATTTTTGAATCCGCTCGTTAAATTCCAGCCGCATTGTTAGTGGTGACTTAGAAATGCGGAATGTTTGTGTTAGGATGCAATTACTGGCACATCCTCATTCTCGTGATGGTCCACTCTTTGCCTTTCTCACGCATTTCGCCCAAATTCCTCCACACAGACACCCGCACACACTACAACGCCTCCATTTGACAGAGCTGACCTTTAGCCAATGCTTTACCATAAAAAGAAAGGTGCTACTGTTGCTACTGCTGCTGACCGACAAATTTGGCATTTCTGCGCATCATTTTATCACCTCCTCCTTCATTGGAGAGGGAGGGGATATTATTATGCTGTAATATTTTTTTGGCGCTCCTCCACTACAGGGCCGAAGGCTTTCCTGTCTTTATGACTGCGTTTTGATGTTCAAAATCGTCCATGTCTACTTGGGCGGAGTGTCTGCAAACAGTCCGATGGTGAAGTCTGTCATTCCTTTAGTATGGCATGATTTGTTGTGTCCCTAGGTCTTTATGGGAATTATCTCCAGAGGGTTACAGCTTAACTCTCCCAATTCAAGGACAACGACGTTTTGCTACCTCTTGTGGGATAGGCATAGGCCATATTAGACCGTCTCATTTGGAGCATCTCTGAGGCTACAACAGGCTGTGTCCCCAAGCTTCAGGCGAAGGTGGGGGATTGGGGGTGAGAAGGGAAAGTAAAACCACTGCAATGGCGGAGGTTGGCGTGGTAGAGACCAAATAGCCCCCCAATAGAAGTATTACAGCCTATCAGTGTCGAGTGCTTTACTTTGTGATATTTCTAGTCCACTTTTTCACCCCATGGGTGTAAGTGGTTTGGAAATGCCTAAAAAGAGAAACGACTTTGGTGGATCCAACCAAATATCACATGACCTCACTTTACTTCCATCCAAACTGATGCCTACTTTGTGTAGGGAATTTAGCCTACCGCCTTAAAGTTCACTGCCTTCATGCAATGCTAGTGTGTCCTCATGGCATTTGGATTTGGTAATGTTTGGAGGTAATGCGATTTGTTCTTTTCACATCTAAATATCGTCTGTCAAAAGTGACAAATAAACAGTCCCATTTCAAACTCCACTTCCGTTTAGCAAGTCACTTGGAGAGGTCAATACAGATCCTAAGTCCGTTATCCAAATCTGATTGGGTCCTTGTGAAGAGTTCGGTCGTCTACCTACCTATGCCTTTTTGCACGTGTTCAGTTGGTAGCTTCAAACAGGCTGACAAATTTAAAATAATGAAGGGGGCGGACGTTCAGTTGATGTGCCACTTACAACACGTATTATTCTTGTTAACGGCTCGTCATCAAAAGCTTTAACTTTTTAGTCGCCTTTCAACCGTGAGAAACTGAGTACTGTTTTCACTGGCCTCTTAAGCTATCCCTCCAAGAAACTGACTGATTAAAATGAATGGGGTCCATACTGGCAAGACTGGTGCTCTTCGCTCTCGCACATTCAACACCCTTCCTTCCTACCTTCACACAGCATGAGTTGGGGGTACGTGCACGCACGCACCGGCATAAACCGTCCGGGTAATCTTAAACTGGATATCGGAACGTGAGAACATCTGTCCCTCTTCGGTGACTAAGTCGTTTATCCATTAGCTGGGTGTCCATGGTTCTGCCTTACATCTGATTGGCTAGCAGTGTGGTTCAGCCAATCAGAATCTCCCTTCTTACATGCATTCACTTCTTTAAGATGCGGTTATTTCTTTGTGTTTGTGTATGTATCAAAAATTGTCACTTTGTAAATGAGTCCTCCTCGGAGATCTTTCTTCCCCCAAATTTACGTCTTTCAGTAATGAGGTTCTCCTTAAATGGCATGAATGGAATACTTGACCGTTTTGGTTACGGCCTCCGTTGTTGCGGCAGTGACACCACGCGTCCTGTCAACACTGAGTATTGCGCAGATGTCTAATGATTTCCGACTCGATTGAAGATATGGGCTAAAATGTTGATTTGGCCGGTTGTTTTAGTAAACCCCTCAGCCTTGAGAACAAGGGTATCAAGAGACAGGAGAAGAGTAGGTTAAAGGATATCATTAGAGTTCGAATGTACTTATCGCGAGATTTTCGAAATCACAGCCACTCTAGTTTGAGTGGCGACAGATCGGTGAAAAATCCGGTGCATGGTTAGAAGCTATACCCCATCAGCCAGGGCAAAGTAGGTCGTTGTAAGGTTAAGATCGGGTACGCAAATAAGGCTTCCTTTTGCCGCTCACTTAGAGGCTGTGCCACGACCCAGATTTTGGTCACTGGCACCGTAGTTTCAAGGGCACGATTACCTCTCTAAAGGTCAGGCAACTTTTCCGCTTCGCGGTCTGTATCATTTGTCCTATTACCTCTCTTCATTAATCAAAATTAAGTGATGAAAAGCGTGAGAGGAACTGCTGCAATAAATTTAGCTAAAAGTCATACGAGAGGGGGGTTTCCTTCGTATCTCAGATTGTCAAGAAGCAAGCACAGAAATTGTTTAACCTTTGGTTTCCATGTAAGCCTCGATTTTGTGTTCACTTTACAGAATAACCTTCGAATGTTGTCAAGTCTCTGTTCGAAAGTACCGTTGACAACATCAGGAAGCGAATCTGACTACAATTCTTCTTCTTCTTCCTCCTCCTCCTCTTCCACATCATCCACCATCTCGCATCTCTCAGTCACAGATTCTGTGCCACTGGTGCTGCCACACACCGAGAAACCGCCTCCACAAAGCCGCCATAGTGGAGGTGAGAATTTGAGTCTCCTTGCCCACCTACGACGCCTGGTTTTGAGCTCATCCACCTTTCAATTTCAACGTCTTCAAGACGCGGATGTGGAAGAGGACGCACACACTGTTGTGACGTACATATCGTTGGGCGCTTCCACACCGCTTCAGCAACGTCACACCGACACTAATCCGATCAGTGTCAATGCGGACAGCAGTCAGGCGGTGTCACGACGTCAGAAATCGCCGAAAAAACGACACGTCACTTGGAAAGACCTCGAAGCAGAAGCCTCGATCGAGAAGGTAGGAGGAGTGTTGGACTTTTTCCCTCATACAGTGGATTTGTTTGCATTGACGGTGACAAATGTATTGAGACACAACTTTACAGTCTGCAATTCAAGGGTATCAAAATGTTTCAACCTCTGTCCATGACTATGAATTTGGAAAGGACATTTTGGAGCTGACAAATCTCTCCCAATGAATGAAAAATTGTGCAATCCACTTTTTTAGCATTTTATTTGGCGACATTAAAGAAGCATGACATGGATAAATCGACTTTATGGTAAGGAATGCGGTGGATCGTAAACAAAAGTGGAGAAAATGTATTTTCCATCTGATGGTAGGTTGTGTGCAGGTGGAATGCAAGTTCTTCAGCCAATAGGACAATCATACAGAGCTTTGAGACTTCGCAAAAGTTGAAAGAAAATCCGATATGCAGCCTAGACGTGTGGAAGGTGCGCATAGCTACTGCCATCTGGTGGAGGCGGGACGATGAAGCCTCAAGCGGCAGACCACCCTTCTCGCCTTCGTTTATCCATCGTCTTCTGCTTTTTCATTGGTTGACTTTACCTTTTGATTATCACAAGTTAGTCAGTGGTGCGGGTGGGAGCTTCTATCAGCCAACAGCTCCAGACGTGACAAACTTCTCTAGATGTTTCACTGTGCTTAAAGTCTAGTCCTTGATGGACTCGTCTAGACGGCTTAAAACAAGTGTTGCTCCGGTTTTTGGTATCTCTTCTGTAGACTACAAGACTGAAATAGGTGTCGAATGTTGACGCACTTTGCTAAGACATCTCCGCAGGTCAACCTCCACCTTCAGTCACGCTAAAACTTGCCATTTGGAAGTTTGTTAGGGTCTGCTTTGATTCCTAGAAAAGTGACCAAAATGTGGCTCTGGAATTGATTGCATCAAGCTCATTGCCAAGTAGAGTATGGCAATTTCCCTTTCTTATTTTTTCCCGAACCCTTTCCATTATCAGGAGGTGCCAAACCGACACTCACTGTACCTTCCATCATTGGTGGAGATGAAAATGGAGGAGGATAAAGTTCATCGACGTCACAGCTATACAGGAGAAAATAGAGAGGAGGATGGAATTCCTTTTCCACCGCCTTTACAGCCACCGCCACCACCACCTCCACCACCACTACAGTCACAGCTGCCAGGATATGGCGAAGGTGGTAACTTTGATGAGAGGAAAGCCCGCTACAAATTACAATTGCGCCACTTCAAGCGTCGACGTCGGTACAGCGATTGGTTTTTCACTCTCTACGAATTTGACAAACCCACAAACCCTGAGGTGAGCACCACCTTTTCTACTCCATAGTGGAATGCCAATGCTCCTTCACTTCTAAACCGAAGTTCAAAAGAATGCCAGAATGAGGGAGAGAGAGGGCTTAACCGATGACAATGAGGTACTTCCATTGCCCACCTAATTGTCATTCGGAAATGTCTTGCTAAAGGTTAAACACTTACGCCTGAGATTTATTGGATTCGGGCGATACATCACAAAGGCGTGAAAAAAAATTTTCATTTCAAAGTATTCATTACTAGCCAACAAACATGAAGGAAACTCCGTCTTCATACTCATGACACAGAACCTATCGATGCAAGAAATTACTCTCTAGACTGGATGGAAGATTCTGTTGCACCTTTGATGTTCTCCAAATTATCCTTCTCTGGAATATTATCGTGTTGCTTTGAGACTACATAACATCACGATTAAATAAGAATCTGGGGGTTAGGCATAGAATTATTTGATGGAAACGAGGATGACAAGATTGTGGACCCAAAATGGCTTCTAAAGGTGGGTAAAGACTACACATGACCGCTTCTGGAGTCCTCTTCCTCCCCTTCATTCCTCACCTGAAGCGGCATTCGGCCACAGAGGAATGAAGGGATGTATGCTACTGATGTAAAGAACCGCTGGAAGGTCAATGAAATACTCTGAATGATCGGTCTAAGACTAAGAGAGTTAGTTAAGTCCGGTTGGTGACTTTTAATATCCTTCTTCATTAAAAAATCTGACGGAAGTTATTAAAGATGTAGCTTTCTGAGGCTGCTGTCAACATGACTCGGAAATTATTGTCAAGAGCTGAGACTTTCCTTGGGTGTTAATCAGACACTGATACGAAAGGAGGTTTGTTATTAGCTCACGGGATGGCGAAAAGTGACATACACTTCCGGAGTGTCATTCCAGCAAGGAGAATAAAAGGGTGGAGAGCTGAATTTCCCATGAACAAGCACGGCTTAGCTACAGTACACTACGATATACTTTCTAAACCTGTGTATAAGTCATTAAAGAAAGTGAGAAAATTCTAAAATGCTTTGAACCCTTTAAAATCAATGTTCTGATAAACATCAAAGGGATGAATGCCAATACTCTTCTGTAACTAAGTTGAGCTTTTCGGATGTGATCAATCGACCCCTTTCCCTCTGCATTTTCGCACTGGATTTAAGCAAAGTGAGGTGGTTTTTCAGGGCCAATAAGACGACGAGTAAAAAGATCGCGGATTTTGTCCAGACAAGCTACATCATAGGCCATCAGACCAAAATTTGTAAGGACTAAGCTTTGATGCAAAAAGGGAACGAATTTTACGGAGGAAATGACAGTAAAGTTGAACTTTGTTCATTAAGTACCACGATGGCAGGTTTTGCGCTATGAAGGTTTGTTTATAGCACCGAAGACATTGCCACTCACTTCCATTCTACCCAATTAATCATAGCGAGCTAAATCTTTAGCCTAACGAAAAACTTTTCAAAAAGGAGGCCCTTGGTTTTGAGCTAATTAAAAAGGTTCACAGCCTAATTTTGTTTAAGCTAGTCAATTCATACACATGTAAATGCTCACGGTAGTAGTGGAGATTTGGAATTAGTTTGTTAATCAAAGAGCATCATTTTAGTCTTGCAAATTTGTCTTGCTTTGAATCACATTGTTGTCGTGGTTTGCTGACTCTGCATCGTACACCCAAATACGCAGGATTTTCTGACCTCGCAGATCGTACTTGGGTCATGGCGGCATGGTTTTCTAAGCTTGTTTGCGTCGATGAAAAAAAATCCTTATGTGCGCTCTTAGAAAGATTTTAGGACCACACGTTTTGTTTTATTGCTCGCTATTGCCTATTATAAAATTCCGAGGTTGTTTAAAATGAACAAAAAATCTTTTGCATATTGTTTGGACTAGCATGAGTTGTTTATTCGTCTAATGGCAAAATAGAAAACATATTTATCGCCACAAGTCACTCAGCAATCAAGAGTGCGCAGGATGTTTTTTTGAGAATTCATAATTGAGATGAACGACTTGATGGTTTCCAACTACATTATTCTCGTCAGTGTTTGGGCGTCATTTTGGCGTTCAGTACCTACCAACTGTTTAATCACTCATGCTAAACACTACTGAAGGCTCTCCTTGAAGAATTGGCCTTTAGTTACTTGAATCACTGGCGTTGGGTCTGCATGAACCGCAGAGTGATTCACCGTGAGGTCGTAATTGTTTAAACCAGCCTTTGGCAGTCCTCTCAGCTACAACACCTGCAAACACGACATAGCAACTGTTACGAGAAGTTCCTACAGCTTTTGAACCGGTTTAAACTTATTTTATGGAGCTTATACCAAGAGATCAACAAATCCATTTGGCCACCTGAGAGACATCCGTTCGGTACCATTTCTTATTCAGAAGTGGAAATTAGCAAAGTAATGCTGATATGCCACAGGCAAAAATTTTATGCAATCATAATGCTAACATGCTGTAAAATTATGCCAAAAGTGGTGTCGTTACTTTCTCTATTTTGTTTTTTAGGAGTCCTTAGCACTGGACAGCCACCTCTTCGAGACCATACTGTCTCGTCTGCATGGCATCTACGCCCTATCACTAAACAGTGTATTTGATCCCAACAGCAATCAAAAACCCGCCCGCCTTCGCTTCGAGCGGCTTTCCAAACTCCCCACTGCCAGACGTCACCAACAGCGTCAACATCGACGCCGACAATGTGATAGTCGCTTTGAGGACAGCTCCTCCTCCAGTTGCGTCTCCTGCATCTCCTTCAGCATGTTCGACAGCACTTCGCCTCACAATCCAGGCCAGCTTTTCTGTCCTGATCGCAATGTGGGTTGTAGCGGACCAGGGCGTTCCTTCTACTGCCACGAGTGTGGGCGCAATATGACAGGCGGCTCTAGTTTAGTCAGTGTTGCGGGAAGTGCAGACTCGGGTCAGCGACCCGAGGTTTGCTACTCCATGACTCGATCGGTCGAGTTCTATCGATTCACCAGGACTATCAAGTGGCAAAAGCTTAATAGAAAGTGCGTTTTGGTTCCCAAAAATCCAATATCAATAAGCTTAAATTGTTAGACTCATTCTGTAGCGGCAAAATTGGGAAGTTCTATCTTGCGCAAAGTAAGAGTGGAAACAAAATCTTTCATCAAACCACTATAAGACGAAGATTTAATAAATGTATTGGGTCAGCAAGGATTGGAACTTAAATTTATCAAACTGGTTACAGACCTCATAAATAAACATTTTTTTCTTAAAAAGTTAGCCATACTTAACTCTACTGTGTATATTAACGTCATTTCGGTTTGTTCATCCCTTCCCAATTTTTTTTTGGGTTACAAAGGCCTTTTTGACTTAAAAGTCATATTTTGTATGAATTATGACACTACTCTGCCGTGAGCGGTGACCGAACATTTGTCACTCCTTACATGAACACGTAGTTGTAACAAAGGTCAGCTATTTCAGTGTCATCGTAGGTGGACGAGGAATGCGTCATTTGGTATTCCATATGGCTAACTATGAATTTACTTTTACCCTTTGGCGCCGTTATTACCACACTAAAATGCTGTAGTGCAGCAGAGCTGCAGATCTGCTGGTGAGATTTAGGCTGCCTTCTCCAACATATGTGTGCATTTTAGCGATGTTTTATGTTTCATGGAGGGCATTGCACTTGAGGGTCGAGTAGCGCTGTTTTACACTGCCTCCCGTACTTGGGGCAGGGTAGTAGAGAAACAGATAAAAGTTTCGTAAAAATTGTGAAGTAGTGAGTTGATAGACCTGAATTACTTAAAAGTGAGAAGTTTTACGTTAATTAGGCAAGTTGGAATTCACACATTTAGCAAGTTGCTTTCGGATCCAGTTGTGCTACTTGGAAGTATTAAGTAGCATATCTCAACGCAATGTAGTAGGCATTATTGCATGTTTGCCTCGTAGTCAACCATCAGAGCGCAGACGTCGTCATCGCGCCTCACCCAATCAGCACCAATCAACACCTCAGTTAACCCGAGAGCGGGTGTGTCGGGCGCCCAAACGCTCCCGTCGTCGCTCAATTGCTCACCGGCACCCTCGGGAGGCCGTCTCAGTGCCGCCAACGCAGTCTAAAGCACAGCCAACAGCGGCACAATCACACCAACCGCGGTGGAGCTCGGCGCAGGAGAAGCGCAAAAAGGTGCGGCGGGTGATACATAAAAGAATGAGTCAGCAACGCGTTGCTGATTGGCTGGTTGCTACTCATGGAGGTCAAGCCGGTAGCTGCACTACTCCGCTCATTGTCTTCTAGCCCTTTTTCTTCTTCTCGCTCCCTCTCTCTCTCTCTTCATATAAACTGGAAATGAACCAAGAAGCAAGATTGTTTCGCTTTTATTTGCGAATAAATAAAGATATTTTAACCTTTTACATTGTCTATTGAAGAGATGTAAAACAACGTGTGGTGGGATTTCAGCGCTGTGTATGGGTACCACCAGTGAAAACTACTTTGTTGGTCAGTTTTAATTGCTGTAAAATAGAAAAGTGATCTTCATTAAAATTGGCTGAATATACACAAAGTGGTTATTTTTACCACCTTTTTTACACATAACTCTTTTCATCTTTATTTAAAGACCATACTGCAAGATAGCGGCTCTTCTTATCTCAATTATTTTCGCAGTAAACAGTGACGTCACATTGGGCTGCAAATAAGTCAACGTTGTTAACGCTTCCCAACTGAAGCCTCCTCTGTTACAGCTGAGGTGGCCTCAAGGTGCTCAGTAGACCTCGTCGTTGCCTCTGTTAAGGTGCGTGCGCAACGCGGTAGCCAAATAAGTTTGCATAGCTTAGCATAGTAAAAATAAGCACAGTAAAGATAACAACAGCTTGCCTTGCCTTCTTTCCAGCAAAAAAACTGGTTTGACCTTCCATTCAGCATAAAGTCTTACCACTTAATGAAGGATATAATTAAGCTCTCGCCTCTCGAAGTTATGACAATCCATTTTTGCTTCCAAATTGACTATGTTGTATTGCTTTATTGAATAATGCTACTCGTTAGGACGAGTGCAAAGAGTGAGGAGCACCTTAAATCCATCAAAATTCGTAAATGTGAGGAATGAGACGATACATTGACCTTCGAGCACAAGTCTGACACCTGGGTGTTTGCAATGAAGCTTTACCAATAAGTTTTACTGACTTAGAAACGAAGGAGTTGTGACTTATGATGCCGAAATAAATAAAAAGCTGTCCTGGATTTTAAGTTTATGATTGCATATGTTAATGTTTAGTACCATTTTGTTAGCATATATCCTATAAAAATGCTACTTAAATCATTTCAGTAAAGCTTTTTATATTTACGTCTTTGATTAGCAAAATGTCGATTTGCCTATTATAAACTGAGCCTGTGGCGTCCGCCACAGAGATTTGATCTGAACCTCGTTTCGATTCAAATAATTTTTATTTCTTGGGTTAGAACGCAACTATTCAACGAAGGCATAATTGAGGGCGTAGGACAATTGGGACCGTTTGTCTTGCAGTCCTTCCTCACACTTTATTTGCCTATCCACCTTATGGAGCGCAAGCATCAATGCCGATTTCACAGATTAAAAAAATAGCTGTTTAAGTTGTTAAGTCATAAATTCTCAGTTTAAAATCGTATCTAACTTGTTCTTAACTTTAAGGAAACAATTTTTTCTTCATCTTATCTTAGTATGTAGTAAAAAGACTGCTGTGTCTAATTCACGCATTAGTTGTGCAAATAGCTCATGCCATTGATTCACAAAACTTTGTCTGCAAGAGACGCGAGGAGGGGAGAGGTGTGGAGGACAAAGAAGGAAGCAGTGAGAAACAGCTTTTTGCTTTTAGTACTCACTTAGGTTTCGATTGGATGAGTGACAAGTATCTGTTGAAAGATTATAGACTAGGGAAGGAACTTTCTCAATTCCCATCAACTTTTGCTCCTGAATGCAGAGAAGTTCACGTTTTTAGGCAATGTGTCTCGTCCCGTAATATCGCCAAATTAGTGACTTGGAGAATGTTTAGCGAGGCTCTTCCTTAACTAGCATTAACTTAATCGCCAGTACCATTTCTTCAAGTACACTGTTTCTGTGATAACAAGATATTTTTAGGAGTCGGAATCCACACCAATTATTTGGCGTTCTATGTTGTTAAAAGCCTCCTCAATTCAGCTGTCGTTGTAGGCTCTTGTAACCTATTCAAGGTCATCATACCTCGACCACACTTTCCAAGACGCCGTACAGTGATGCGCATGTCTTTAGCCAAAACATGCCTCCCCGCATCAGATTTTGTACCCCTTTGAGGACGACAGAGGACAGAAGGATCAGACGCCAAACTTCAGGGTCTGAAGTATCCCGCAATGAGGCCACATCGGAGCCTTCAATAGCCCGTCACCAAAATCGAGAGTCAAAAGGGGAGCAGCAGAAGCACTGCGCCAATGTTTTTTTTTTTTTGCATTTTTACAAGGCGAGAGTTATTTGAAAAGTACCTTTTTCAGCTCTCCGTAAAGTACAATTGCTGCTTAAATGTTCACTATAATTGAACAAGTGTGTGGAGACAAAGCCAGTTGACTTGAAACCACCACCACATCTAATCGCAAACTCACTTCTTTTCCATCCAAACGGTGTGTATGCGGTTGGGTATGTCGAAGGACGACGCCACCTCATCAACTCCACAAAACGCCGCGCAAGTCAGGAGCTGGGAAGCCCTAATTGGGGATTTCTATCGCCTCAAGCCTAAAGAGTGTCACTTATTAAGCAAATTGGCTGTCATGTGACACCACGGTCTGTACTTAGGGATAGAATTTACGAATGAGTTTACTGACTTATTGTGTACAAAAGTGGTCCTTGATTGACGCAATACTCGTGGCACGTCGGGGCCACGTTACCGGATCACGTTACTCACATTTGCGTTTAGCAAGGCAGTCTTGCGGATCAGTGGGTAGAGGCGGTATTATTGCACAGTCTAAAGTAGGTTTAAACGGAAATACAGTTTCAACTCAAAAGGTGGATGTACTTTAAAAGTTTTTTTTTGTTTTTTTAAAACCCATTTTACCCGCGTTTAAGGTTGTAAGATTGTCTTGGCTGATTGGTCGGACTGGCGTCCACCACAAATGGGCTTTTGGGGTGCCTTTTTTGTGCCCACTCCTAAAATTGCCTTGTTATGCGGAGGAGATTTTGTTGTAGCAGCAGACTTGCTTCCTTTTGTTTTCCTGGGAGCGCACATTCAGCAACTGAGTCATCCTAGCTCCTATGGTGTTAACCTGCACCACCGACCGGTCTGTATTACCGCTAGGCTGATACTTTGCTTGAGGCACCTCACATTATTCATGTGTGTATGCTTTTGTAAGACAAAATGAAGGTTATTTAATGTAAAAGGGCAGTTATTCTTGGGGAACACACCTAAACAAAGCAATCTCAATTGCAAACTTGGATTGGGTGGCGAGTTGAGGCATTGCTGGAGGTCCGAGGAGTTACCGATGTCAGCAGGAGGTCAGATTGATGAGTTGAGGTGAAAAAACAATCTAGACAGCACATGACCCTGCTTTCCTCCTCTTCTGACAGTCGTATTCAGTGCTTTATTTTAATTAACGTCTCATCTTGACCACCAGCAGCAGTCGTCAGGTGAACCTGCAACAGAGGCAACACCCAATTCTACTGCCGTCAATCCGTCTTGGTAATTTCACAGAATGGGGACTACACTAGCGGCCTCATTTGCCCTTCACACATGATAATAATATCATTTTAGTGTCCCCACTTTGGTTCTAAGTTCTAACCGGTTAGTGGAGAGGCGATAGAGGTGTTGCATGCTCATTCCATTGCCACTTTCATAGAGAGAGATGGTGCACTGCTAGATGACAAGTCATTCCAGATGGATCGCCACCAGTGCAACTTCAGTCGCTCGCATCAAGTCTTTAGCGGAGTGGACTGGGGCAGTTGATCAACTCTTTTGCTAGAACCATAACGGATAATCTTGTCCGTCATAAAGGCCCTTCTTCCGTCACATCAGGGCTTAGCGTCCGCTCCCCACCGACATAAGGACGTCCTCGGGGTCGACTCAGGGAGGGAGGCAGGTTTAGCATGCCTGTCCCAGAGGCCAGAACACCGAGCGAATGTACAAAGGCGGAGCCTCAGATGCCAGACAGAAGCACCATCCAATAGTTGCACAAATACCAAAAGTCTTAAAGCCACAAAACTAATGCCTCCTTAGTCGGACTTAGGAGCCTTAAATTCGTCCTCTCTCCTCCCTTCTCTCCTAAGTGTGATTGTTGATGAGATATCTGTGGATGTGACAAACTTAATTAAATTGTCACCACCTCGCTTTACTTCCTACTGCCGCAAAATAAGGTGTTAAGTATTTGATTCCAAAAATAGCCAAACCTGTTAACATCCCCGAAGGCCACCGCATTTGTGAGTAGAAGAGCAGAGTTTGAGCTCCGCCTAAAATTAGGCTGGGATGCGCAAATGTGTTAAAGTAGGAACAATAAACACTCACTCTACTCTTTTTTTAGCCACTTACAACAACGAATCGGTGAGTTGTTACAATTTTAATCATCCTCTGTCCGCCATATGGCCGACAAAAAAATCCAAAGCTTCTATGAAGAACTTTCAACTAACTTTGCTTCTCACAACTATTGTACACATCTTATCTGATGCATCCCTTTGCATCCACAGAAAGGCGAATTGACCGTGGAGTTTGTGTGCAGAGGGTTTGTGAAGTGAGTGGTGAAGGTGGCAACCGTGATGCCCCGTGTGGTGCATGCATGGTAAGCGCAAACACAAGTTCAAGCACAAAAGAGAAAGAGGACGTTGCTTGTACTTTTGTTACATCCAGAGTATAAATAGACGTTGTTGCGATTAAAAAATGTGCTGTTTTTAGCATCCGATATCAGCAATTGCCTTCCCTCCCCGTGGAATGGAGGTTGGTGGAGGTAGCGGGGTGGATAGACAAGATCGACGGAGGCTGAAGCGTAGGTGGAGGAGTCGGAGAATGACGAGCAGCAGCATAAGCAGGCGAGGGCGGCATCGGCAAGTGAAACGTTACAAATGAAAGTACAGAGATAAGTTAATCAGACAATAGGGCCTGAGTATAACTGTTAAGATGCTCCATATGGAGATAATTCTCACCCAAACAATTCCAATTTTGATACACATATGCGCACATGCATACACACTTAAATATATTTAGCTATTTATGTCGAAATGTCACCACAATTTTGCGACTTGTAGAATGCAAATTAATGCCCACTCTGCATTAAAATCTTTAATAATTTGCTTGATTAGCTTTAAGATTATGGAT